TAGTGTGTAGTTCTCTACTGCAAGAACCCATGATGCCGTAAAAAGAGCCTGCGTGGTCCCTCCATTGGGTACAGTAGAGGGTGGTGGGGGTTTAGGGGTTTAGGGGTTTAGGGGTTTAGGGGTTTAGGGGTTTGGGGGTTTAGGGGTTTAGGGGTTTAGGGTTTAGGGTCTAGTTAAACCCCAGGCCCTGACACACTCACCCTTCATCACAGGCTTGAAGGATGGGTTGCGCACCCCGAGATTCGTGCGGCTAAGATTGAAGGGTTTCGGCGGACCTGGAGACTAATGTAGGGGCATTAGAACTGGGTTTGGGGGGTGTATTATACTATCAATATATGAAGGAACATCCAAAATAGTATAGGTACTTGTTAAGGCCCCTATCTCAGTTTAAGGTTAGTGGCTTATGGATTAGGCTTTGGGGTTTCCTTCAAGGGCACTGAGAAGCTCCGTAAGGGATCTATACGTAAACCCTCAAGTTGCAGTCATCTTGGTGATTTCATAGTGTTGCTCTTGGCTTATGTACAGGCCCCACCAAAAGATAAGAGGCTTAGTCACGCTATTCCCTTAGGCTTCCGTTATTATAACTCAGGGTTCAGTGGCTTCGGGCTTGAGCAGCTCGGACCTTGAGAGAACTGCAGATACGGTTTGAGTTAGCCTGTGGCTTCCCACAGCCGAAACGGTCTGCCACCGGAGGTTACCCTGAATACCCTAAATCCTAAACCTCGTAAAGTCTATATATGGGAGTTTCCGAAAATAGGGGACCCTAATATAGTACCCGAAATAGTAGGACCTTATTATAAAGGCCCCAAAATAAGGTACCCTAATTTTCTGAAACTCCCATATAAATCCTGAACCCTACAATCCTCAACCCTGGGTTTCAAGAGGAGGTCACTTCAAGAACGCTGCCTCTTCGACGGACTTCGACTCGTGGGCGAATCGAAGGGAAGCCAGTGAAGGCATCCCTGAGGCAAAGGGCTGTGGGGATGAGTAGGGTCTGGGCTTTAGGGTTGGGTTTAGGGTT